TATTTAAGTAAAGGTTGGGATGATATGCATAAATATATTTGCAAAAGGATATAACTTAACTTATATCTGAAATATCTAAATCTCGGCCCGAAAAATATTAAAACAAATTTAGATAAGAATTGAATTATCTTTGAAGTAGTGTGTACGCAACTCCCATGTTTATTATGAATATATTGGGATGTTATTTATAACTTATGAATGAAACTATTTAACTAAAAGTTGTGATGATATATACAAATATATTTGCAAAAGGATATAACTAAAATTAGATTTGAAATATATTAATCTCGGCCCGAAATATTGAAACAAGTTTAATTAGATGAGTAAAATATGCCAAATGCATTGTGTGAATACGTTAATGCATTGCCTCATTTTAAATAGGTTAGTAACATGCATTTCATCATACATTTTATAATATCATAAATCTAAACAAAAAATATATTTTCAATACATAATACACAAAACTATCAAAAGTTGGCCAACTACTACATGCCCAGAAATACGAAAATGTACATATCATGTAAAAGAATTCACACAAAATCCAAAAGGGTACAAGTATGCAGACATAAAATCAACATCATCAAAAAATCAAACTCAAATACATATTGGAATGATTGTCATTATGTGAATTACGAGCCGGTATTCAAGAATCCGAAGCCAACTCCACATCAGTGGCCTGAACGGGGGAAATTCTACGCTGTGACGGCATCATGTGGCTGCATTCATCAATCATTATGGGATGATTGTGACTTTCAACAAAATTTAAAACTACCAACTTTTTATTGTACTTGAAATATTTGATAAGAATTTGAGCATCACAACCAATTCGTGTTTCAGCCTGGGGAGCCTTTCTCTTTATGTCTCGTTTGTTCTCAACCCTAATCCCTTCCTTGGAGCATGATAACAACTTCGATGACACTTTACCAATCTTCTTGCTTGTATTAAAACACTGATTCTGGATGCTGAAACCGAATCAATCGTCATATAAATTATAGAAAATCGTATGCCACCTCTTTGGTTTCAAACTCCATACCTAATCTTGGTTTCCATTCTATCATATCGGGCCCTGTGACAAGAGTATTTCATTCATTTATATTTTCTTCAATATTATTCAATACCTTTTCCATTCGAATGACTTAGATAGCAAACCTACGATAAATAAAAATAATCTTACGTATCATGTAATAAATGAAAAAGAATAATGAACAAGTACTATATACAATTTTGTTAATTGGTACAATTTTGTGAGCCATTAACATTATTGAACAAACACAATGTATCCCAAGGCCCTCGATTGCAAACCAAATCCAAACCAAAGTTAATCAACTTTCTGTCACATTGGGATAGGATTATAGAAAAAAATAAAGTCAATGAACATATTTAATTTGGTACAATAATGTGATGGTTAAAGTTTTTATTTTACTTTTTCCAACCGATACATGCACTTCAAAAGTTTTTTGGAGCTGATATTTTGTTAAAATTTAGTTTATGTTAAGTTTTTGATTCTTACGACCAATCATAATTCTCAATTACCATTATAAACAATATAATATATAAACATATGGGCTACAAGAATACAATGGAAAAAATATTTTAAGATCTTAAATTCCAAGTTCATAAGGTATATTTCTTATAACAAAGCACATCCTAACTCTTTTCTAATATGTAGCAACAATTTCCCATCCATTTCTTAATTATCAACTATATCTTGATATTTATCAATAAATCCCTTGCCAAAATACAAACCCAATTCATCATAAGAACAATAAATGTAATATTTGTTTTCAACATTAATTAGGGTTCAAAATTCATTAATAAGGGCTCAAAATTATTCTTCAAATTAAGTTCCTCAACAATCAGAACAACAATGAGAACATATTTATCTCTAACATTAATTAGGGTTCACAAATAAATAAAAAGAACTCAAATGTTTTCCCCAAAATACCTATCCAAATAATCATAAGAATAATAAATGCAATATTTTGGTACAACATTAATTAGGATTCAAAATACAACATATATATGGAGTAAATTTTAACACTAGTTTAGTTCAGGAATAAACTTATAAATAAATAATAAAAACTCAAACAAAAATGCCCTAATATGTTTGAAGGGAATTGAACTTACAAATACTAAAATTTGTTGGATGCAAACAAATAATAAATTATACCAATACAATATCTGCGAGTCTTTATCTTTGTAAACCCAAATAATTTACGTTGGCAATAATGTATCATCCTTTGCAATAATGTATCATCCTTTGCAATCTTTCTCCTCTCTCTCTCTTCCTTCTTATAACTTTCCTTTTCCGGCCATCCAGGTACCCGATAAATCACAGTTTTTTGGAAAGAGATGAGACCCTCTATTTTGCTTTGAGAATAAATGAAAATGAAAACAAATAAAAATCTAATTTTATTTTGGGAGAGAAGAAGGTAGAAAGAAGGAAAGAAGGGCGGATCAATTGAAATTTCAAAATTGAAATTTTGCCCAATAGTATTTTGCTGATGAAGATGACAACTGCGTATAAAAAGTGTATAATTGATATATATTATATATTTTCAGAAATACATTTTTTTTTTTTAAACACCGTTTTCAGTGTTGACGTTGTGAAATTTATCACATAATAAGAAATCTTAAACTAATGAACAAAAAAAAAAAAAAAAAAAAATGATTTTGATCGATCACCTCCAAGAATTAAGTTTTATGCATAAAAAATATTTTAACTTTGTGTACAGGGTATAATATAAAAATCTGTTGCACAAACATATAATAATATTAATGGCAGGAATTAGCTTGTCGATCATATATATGAATTCAAATTCAATGGTATGTTATAACTGCAATTAATCATAATAAACGATATTAATGACTAACAATAATAAGCCAAGGGAAAAAAACACAGAGAGAACGATAATCAAATTATATATCTTACACACATGCGAACACTGGGGGGAAAAAAAAATTACTTAGGATTACAAAAATTATTACATTGAGAAAAAATAAAAATTGCTAGTATACAAATGGAATGATGACAGGCATAGCTCTTGTGACATTATGCTCAGGAATCCCAAGACATCTTGGAATTATTGTGTGTGCAAATTTAGATCGTTGAATGGAACCGTAAATCACTATGCAATTGTCTCCATATAGAGAATTAAAATAATATTGTTTAACCCACGTTTCATCTTGATATTGGAAATCAATAAGAAATGTTATACATTTTTTAATTTATATATTAATTAATTGTAATTTTGTCAACTTTGTAAGGTATTAGAGTGAATATAGAGTGGCTAAAAATAAGGACCAAAATCAAAAGATAAATGAAAATATGTCAACATTTATAGATGACCCCTTGCACTATAATTTTTGTACAATTTTACTCCTATGGGGTAAAACTATAATTATTTAAAAAATTCAAAGCATGTGTGTCCACATGATCACGGAATCGTCAATATTTTAACCACTCTATCACGACTAAGGAATTCTAAGTCACGTAAAGCGGGAGCAAGAGCGAAAGCGGGAGCGGGAGCGAATTTGAGAGCGAGAGCGCACTGAGAATATGAGAGTGACACATATTAAGAAGGATTGTGTGACTTAGGTAAAAATAAGTTATAACTATTATATATAGTATGAGCTGCAAAAAAAAATATTATTAATTCATAGGTGCCAAAAAATAATAGTACAAAGGTTATAGTTAATTGATTAAAAAAAATATCTCCCCTCTAAGTCTCTATTACGAAAAATATGTTGAATTTTATTTTTAAAGCACGTACCTATGAGCCAATGCAAATTACCATTTTCTTTACATTACAATTCAAATTTATATACATTAGATTTTGAAATTTTATTATACATTAATATTATTAAATTTGTACTCTTGTGATTTGACAAATATACTAATGTCACTACAACAATTTAGGCATTTCGTTACAAAATATTTTTTGTGGTAAAAATTTATTTGTAACAAAATTTTTTTTTGAAGTGAGGTGGTTCATGAAAATTCATTCTTTTGTGGCAAAAAAATTTGTCTTTCGCCACAAAATTTTTTGTTCGTGCCAAAGAGTCATTTTTAAGTACAAATTCACTCTTGTGACAAAAAAAATTTGTAGCCAAATTCACAATTTGTTATTGTGTGTACACATACTTAATGATGCGGATACAATTCAAAGCAAGACTTTGACTGTTATATCTAACTACCATTTTAAATTTATAACACAGTATTTCCTAACCGAACTAGACAGGCATCTTCCAAACCGCATAAATAGATAAAATAAAAAAACCTCACCAAAGGCATCTTAATAAATAGTCATAGCTTTCTAATTAATTTAATTATTTTTCTCTAGGACGAATTACCAATTCAATGGCCCAAGTTTGAGGGGTTGGTGATCGAATTCAACGGGATTAAAAAGTCACTTTCCATTAAATAAAAATTTAATTTATATGACGTCTATGGAATTAATATAAGTAAAATTAATTAACTATTATATATGTATATACATACATAATATAAGCATATGGTCATCCAGAAATATGAAAACAATGACATTTCCAATGGCAAAAAATTGCTTAACAAAACCCTACAAGCACTAAATTACATCCAACTTGAAGGCTCTCATAATTGGCATCATCCCATCATATTCAATACACCATTAAACTACAATTTTCTCTCTTCAACTCAAAGACCATTTCACTTCTCTTTGAAATGTCCGAAACTTTGCTTTCTTCTTGTTAGATCCCACCTTGTTCTCTCCCCTTCAAACCCTACTATCTTCCTTTCTATTCTCATCACCTTCTTCCTTCTTAACCTTCCTTCGAATACTACAAAGGAAAAAAAATGTTCTGCAAATGTTTCTGTTGGTTTAAAATTGAACAACCCGAGATCAGGTACGATTCATAGATTCAATTTATGCAAATAAAATTAATTTGACTTGTTAAATCTGTAGTAATTTTTTTTTTTTTTTCGGTATTAGTTTTTCAATTTTTTTTTTTTTTGCTAATATATTTATTTTTGTTTTAGTGTAAACAAGCAAAGAGATTATCCATGGGAAGTATACACACTGAAGGAGCTTCTTCATGCAACAAACAACTTCCATGACGATAATAAAATTGGCGAGGGAGGGTTTGGAAGTGTTTACTGGGGTCGAACAAGTAAAGGCATCGAGGCAATCATGTCCATCTTTTTCCTTTCTTATAATTAATTGCATAGGAGAAAACATGCATATACACACAAACACACACGCACAAACACACACACACACACACACACACACACACACACACACATATATATATATATATATAGACATACAAATATATACCAATACATAGACACGGATCCTCTATGGTATAATTCTCCGACCATTTTTTATTTTTTATTTTTTATCCTAGTAAGAAATTCACACACCTATGTACTCTTTTGGGACTTAAATACTCAACTCTATAGCTGTGATCTCGGATCTTAATTATCTGATAATAATCATGATGTCATGTCATCGATATATTTATGTACATATATACCTATACATGGACACGAATCCTCTGCTGTGTAAGTCTCCGATCATGATGACGTACCTGTCATAGAAGGCTACTGTATAGCAGAAAATCCAAGTCCATATATATATATATATAGATGCACCAAAAAGAAGCAGCAAAGAAGAAGCAACCAAAATAGAGGTGTTTATAAAATATGTTTGTTTGGTATTGCAGATAGCAGTGAAACGGCTTAAGGCGATGAGTGCCAAGGCGGAAATGGAATTTGCAGTGGAAGTGGAAATACTTGGAAGGGTGAGACATAAGAATTTGTTGGGTTTGAGGGGATTCTATGCAGGAGGTGATGAGAGGCTCATAGTCTATGACTATATGCCTAATCACAGCTTGATCACTCATCTGCATGGCCAACTAGCTGCTGATTGTTTGTTAGATTGGCCACGACGAATGAGCGTAGTCATTGGATCAGCAGAAGGAATAGCGTAAGTACATGTATATATATTCCTTAAGGGAAACACTTGATTAATTAATGCAGCTGAATTTCTTGAATCTTTTTGATAGATTAAAATTTTAAACTATAGGTTATAGACATATATTTGGCATATATGTGAAGATCATCAATCTTTAAAAAATTAAAATTAAAATTAAAAATTCCATGTATATATATGATAATTTTTTTTTTTTTTTAATGAATTCAGCTAATTACCTCATATAAATTACTTATAGGATCTTATTAATTTCTTATGATTCTTCAATATGTTTTGAACATTTGATTTATACACTTGAATTTTAAGAATAAAATTGAATGGTTATAATTAATATTTATTCATGAAGAGATCGTGCATTTTACTTAAATAAATGAAACTTGGTTGGACTAATTCTTGAATTAGTCTCACTTCAATAAACAAAATGAGCGTGATTTATTAAGGTTAGATGAAAGGAATCATCATACTTAAACAAATGAAACTAGGTTGGACTAATTCTTAAAGTCTCACTTCAATCAACAAAAGAAACATGATTTGTTAAGGTTAGATGGAAGTTCAACTTTTTTGTAATGTATTTCATCAAAAGTTGACCCCTTTATAGTTATAGATAGATACATAGATAAACATGAATTAAACTAGATTGATGGATATACATACAATACATGTGTTTTCTATATGCATTCAGAAATTTGTTAAGGTCACATTTCAATCAACAAAAGAAACATGATTTGTTAAGGTTAGATGGAAGTTCAACTTTTTGTAATGTATGTTGGCTGTAGTTTCAACCAACTAAATAATTTCTAAGTGAAGAGAGGAGAAGAATGAAGAAACAATTATTTTTCTGTATTGGATTGAATTCTTTGTTGTGTTGATATGTCTTAACAACAAATCCCTTACACTATATATACTATTCTTCCATAGACCTTTGATCTTTTCAAGACAATTCTCAACCACACATATGATACATGCACTCACTTGATACATGTACACTCTTGATACATGTATCCACTTGATACACGTACAATAACAGATGCATGAATGAGCATATACATGAATGAACATGGCATTAATTAATCTAATTTTAACAATGTATTTCATCAAAAGTTTGATCCCTTTATAGTTATAGATAAATACATAGATAAACATGAATTAATCTAGATTGATGGATATATATACATATATACATATACAATACATGTGTGTTCTATATGCATTTATAAATTGGTTTAGTGACCCTTTCATGATAATTTTGTGATTAAATATCAAGTTCTAATCATTTCGAGTCAAGATATTCAGGTCCACTAATTAGGTCTATTTGTCAAAATTAAACAATCAAGGTCATTGATGGTCTGAAATGGGATCCCGTTTTAGGCTCCACTTTAGGCCATCATTTAATTTTGTCAATTTAACAAGTAGGCCTAATAAGTAGGCTTGAATATCATTTTCCACTCAATCCTAAGTTTTTCAGATATATATATAATTTCCATGTGCTAAGTTCTTCAATATGATTAATTAGACCAAGCTGCCCATGATCTTAAGGGTTAATTATTTTTGTTCTTTGCATTGTGAAGATACTTACACCATGAGGCACATCCACATATAATACACCGAGACATAAAGGCTAGCAATGTCCTTTTAGATTCAGAATTCCATGCCAAAGTGGCTGATTTTGGATTTGCCAAGCTTATACCAGATGGAGTGACTCACTTGACCACAAGAGTGAAGGGAACACTTGGGTATTTAGCACCTGAGTATGCCATGTGGGGTAAGGTCTCAGAGAGCTGTGATGTGTATAGCTTTGGTATATTACTACTAGAAATAATCAGTGCTAGAAAACCCATAGAGAAACTCCCAGGAGGGGTTAAAAGAGACCTTGTACAATGGGCTAAACCTTATGTCCAAAAGGGTGTCTTCAATCATATTGCTGACCCTAGATTAAAGGGTAAGTATGATCATGAACAGTTGAGGACAGCCATTATGATTGCAATGAAGTGTACCGATGGCAATCCCGAGAACCGGCCGAGCATGTCGGAAGTGGTGGAGTGGCTAAGGAGTGGTTGTGGTGGTGGAGGAGGAGGGCGGAGGAAGAAAGAGGTACCACGGGTTAAAGGCACGGTGGATGAAGATGAACATGAAGATGGAGATGACCATGATACAGATTATGAATGGTTTGGGAAAGAAAATTCTGTGCCAAGAATGCCAATTGTGAGTTCAAGGAGATAATTAATTAAATATTTTGATTGAATTTTTATGATTTGTATCTTTTTGGCCTTTGAGAACCTGTTAAGTCATGTAATTAGATAAGATTTGGATAGTCAAGATTGATTGAAAAATTAGAAGGCCATTGCATCCTTTTTATTGATTTTATTTTCATAAATACGTGTATCTCTATACACACATATATGTATGCATAAGGCAGGCCTTTCCATTTCATTGTATAGATGACGTTGTCAATCCCTTTCAGAACACACAATATTTCATTAATTGAATAAAAAATTATGCCACTAGGCTATGCTATCTGGAGAATTTATACGACTATTTTTTTAGTGAGTTGGGGTCTAAATGATCAAGTTTTGGCACCTCGTAAGCTCAAATCTGTGAGCGGTCTTTTGTAATCTAATAGACCAATAGATATCTTATTGTGATCATGTGAATATTATCAAGGATAAATTACATTCTAGTTAGCTAAAAGTTCAAACAACTCTTCAATTTTTAAGAATATTATTTACCTCCCCTAAAATGGTTTTCGTTTGAATCAATTAACATACCATGGGATTTTTACAAAAAAAAGACCTTACATTTGACCTAATTATTTTAATAAAATAATAAAATTATTATTTCGATAGTGCCCTTGGCACCACCCATTGCAACAAATCTTTCAACCTCGCCATCATCGTCAAATTCACCCTACGAGTCATGCAATCAGGGTGCCATCTTTTCACCTCTTGCACCTGACAACATCAACTGTATATGTTGCAGAGCCCACAAACCTCAAGAAACAGAGTACAGAAGGAAAAGAAACATAGTAACAATGACCTCGGCTTCTGTTTTAACCAAAATTGCCATTTTCAAACTAAAGATGCGGCGGGGTCAGTGGTCTACAAGGTGGCGGAGACGACACAGAGTATAAGAGATAAGAAGAAGCAGACGTGCAGGGAACATGGCAGATTCTCTCTGAAACAAGCTTGGAACTCATGCAGATATATTGCTCCAATAGTGAAATGGTGTGATCTATGTTGGAAACACTACAGGCCTCGAATCACTGTAGGGGTTTGCATCATTTTACATAACAAGAATTTATCCTTGGCTAACTTGCAAAAACGAGGCATTACTTTTGCTACTATTTGTCACAACTGTATGAGGAATGTGGATTCTAATGATCATATATTTTGCACTTGTAGCTATGCTCAGAAGGTATGGTGTGAGATTTTTTCTCTTCTACACATAGATAATCCGGGATGTAATTCTCTTATGCAACTAGTGGAGTGGTTTGGCTTGCAAACCAATTCTACTTCTACAAAATCAAAAGTGTTGAGCTCAGTTTTTTCAACTGTTATTTGAAAAATATGGGCTTGTAACGACCCAAATCCTCATGGATCCGGATCATTAAACGAGTCCTTACCCGACCCAAAATCATCCGAGGGTAAAACGGTCTTTTCACATTAAATTTAAATAACAAGGTCCAAAAGGGCAAAATGGTAATTTGTTATAATTCAATAAATTGAGACTAAAGGGTATAACGGTCATTAACTTGTATCACATAGTAAATAAAATAACGTTCGGGGCAATATAGTCCTTTCGGGGGTTAAAATATAATTATTGCATTTTAGTGGGTCAAAGAAAATAATTACATGTAATTTCACTTGGTGCCAAAGTGTAATTTAAGAACTTAAATAGTAATTACATATGTGACGTAAACCGGTCCACGTATATGCATCATACGTTGACTGGTTTGGGTTATGAACCCACTGTTGAGATACTGGTCGACGTATGGGAAGTTACACGTCGACTGGTTTAGAACGTGTACAACATTACCACACTGTAAAGATATCGGTCCACGTATGGGGAGCCACAGGTGACGTATAGGATTTTTACGTCGACTGGTTTGGGTCATTCACGTTTAAAAGCCCATTGTCACTGGTTCATGCAACTCAGTCGACGTAGGGTTTTACGTCGACTGGTTTGGGTTATCCTCACCCACTGTCCAAATACCTGTGCCACTACACTCACGTAGTACATAAACCAAGATACATTTCAACATTAAATTGGAATAATAACCACCACTTGATAACGTAATTTACAACACGTTATATTATATACGGGAATTAAAATGATACGAATTTAATTACATTACCCAAATGGTCATATACATGATAAATCCAAATAATTCACATATTGCAAAATAATACATTTTGTGTCATGCACTCTATAAGAATAGTTCAAGTCCAGCAAAATACATTCAAAAATGCCTTTAAGTTCCCTTAGCTCTATGGTGGATTATCATCCGCCAATTCCTTGCCATGAACTGAAAAATATAATATATATAGTGGGGTGAGCGAATTGCTCAGTAGGTGGCGCCTAAGACGCACCTCATGAGACCCCGTGAATCCAAAACAAAAAATAGGCCAATAGGAGTTGGGGTCATACAACATAGGTGAGAATACAACATGGTTATCATTCTCAACACAAATAATAAGATGCAATGGAGATGCAATGCATGCCGATGTCGTTCCCCCTTTTCACAATCAGAATCATCGCTTTCAAACGGTTAATGTAACCCCCTTTGGTGACTCCGCAGCACCGAGAGAAGGATTGGCTACTGTCCCTGACCTTTGGTGACTCCGCAGCATCATTATGGGGCCCAGATAGCTCAACCACGCTAGGGCAATCTCCCTAGTTCTCTCTAGGTTACATGAACCTACCGGCCCGTTGGTGACTCCGCAGCGACCGGGTTTTATCAAAACACTTTCATCAATACATTTTTTCCCAAAACTCCCCATTTTCACTTCAAAAACAGTTTCTTCCCTTCATGCAACCCAATGGTGTATATGCATGTTTCATGATCTCAATACTATGAAAATGAGGAATTTGACACCACACAAGTAAGCATGTTCTCATACTTTTAATATTTAAACAATAATGAATTATCAAAAAATACAATAGGGCATGCATTCATACACTATTTACAGCATGTGAACAATACAATAGGCATAAAACTCATTATATAAGCATACTTCTCATATAACACAATCAAGATATGTCTTCACATACTCACATATATACAACTAAGACAATTTAGGCTACAATTAACACAAATAAGCATACTATAACACAATTCATGTAGATTAACTCACAAAGGTGCATGAATAATGTGAATTAGGAAGCCCCTACCTCTTAAAATGCGAAAACCCTCAAAATAGGTCATGATTTTCGGAGTCCCTAGGCTGCACAAAGATTGAAATTGTTGGTACCCATGCGTAGAGCTCGCCGTACTTTCCGTTTTGCCGCAAACGGCATTCTAAAATACCAAGTGTTGAAGAAGTTATCAAGCCTCAAAGATTAGAGCCAAAACAAAAGGAAAATGAAATGGAAACGGAAGGGAGGAAGAGAGCTATGGGAGAATGAGAGTTGAGACTAAAAATGTGGTCTCAAGACAAGGAATAGGTTAGTGGTGGGTCCCGCCACTATCTCATTTTCTTTTTGCCTTAATTTTTACATTACATACACACACAACTGCACCACATGCAAATATTACTTAATCCACATAATTTAAAATGTACACAATGCAAACGGACCCAACCACAATCCCGTACATATAACGTGAAAAGACGGGAATGCCCTTGGGGCGACAAAATTCCAGAAAAAAAAGAAAAAAAAATGGTGAAAATCGGAAACGTCACAATCTACCCTCCTTAAAGAGATTTCGTCCTCGAAATCTACCCTCCTTAAAGAAGGGGCACAACAGTCACACACTCTCTAAGAACACCTTACAAAATTTCGAGACTATGAATCCACCAACATTATTGCCTTTGACACCGGACGTCGACAGGCAATCACAATTTGTCGCCAGAAAACCCAATGATCACCACCCTATGAAGATATTCCTCACGCACAACATTATACACAAAACCCGTTGAATTACATACTCAACTTAAAACCAACACTGGTCCTCTCTATACAACTATACAAGGCTCGAAAGAGAGAGAAAAAAAAAAAAAAATGGTTACAAGACCCCTGAACATGACAACATCCTATCTCAACCGTCCCTTTAAAGAACAAACCAGACCCCAACGAAGATCAGACTTAACCTTAGATCAACGCATCTCTGTCAAACCAATACTTGTCATCCAGTATACAGCTATACAACCACATGATCCTATAACGAACACCAATTGCACCAACCGACAATCATCATACTGATCAACCTCAAGATAACTAAATGATGAATCTCCCAACAACAATACAATCGTGGGTCACCAAAATAATAAAATGTACTACCCTGCATTCTGAACACAAATCCTCAAAAAGAGATTCTCAAAAATCAATGATCGTACCACTAACCTGTTATCAAACATTCAATACCATTTAACACCTTTTATTACCCCAGATAAATCATGTAAGTCCATATTGTTACCATACTCTCACTATCATTAACAAGTCAGAGCAATCATTGACCCTTGACCTGACATCGTGCCAAAGAGGGATTGGTTCAAGAGAAATGGTTGGCCAGGCCATCCTCATCCTCAATCCGATCTCGACACAGACGTCGTTCTTGTCCTCAGGTCTAAACCTCAAACACAACCCTATACCGTCCGCAAAACAACTAGGAGATCTACTCTCTAATCAATCTATCACTCTACGTAACGTTGTCCACCATACAGTCACATATCAGCTCTAAAATCCCAATCGCACTTTAATTACACAACCCTTAATAAGCTAGAAACAAAATGACACCAAACATCACAATCACCAACTAGTATAAAAGATCTCGATCTCCTCATAACATCCACACCAGGTAAATAACTCCAAGTCACCATTCTTTTTGATTCTTACCTCTTCAAAACGCTTAATACGATCGTCTCATAGTTGAAACCTCAAAATCAAGGTCAATCACTCCTACAATTCTTCAATGGAATCCCACAATCACACTCTAGCTGCAAAACATTCAAACAATACCGACATTTGTTCTCAAGACACTACTAGAATCAATCACTTCTAAAATC